TTTTCTAGAGCTAACTACCCGGTAACGTGACCTTGTCGAATAATGGCCGCAAACTCACTCTCGGTCAGGAAGCACTCAGCATCTTCCGCTCACTCCAGTCGACACCTATTGCTCAAAAAGTTACTGAAGCGGTCAAAGAACTTGTAAAGGCTCGTCAGAAGGCTGCTAGGAAGACTTCAGGCACAGGGGCGGATGAGATGGGCTTTGAGGTCAAGGACAACAGTCCCAATCAGTAGTTGCACCAGTATGTTGCTGTCTATATCATTGTTACTAGTGTCCAACACTGTCTCTTGCTAGGTACGAAGGAGAAAATGCAAGTTTGAAAGCCTGCCGGGCGAGCTTGGGGGTGGACAAGATTTTGCTAGGCCTGCCCATAGTCCGGACGTTTTGGAGGCCGAAGGCCCCGGGGCCTGATTTTGTCCGAACGTTTTGACCCAAAATTGCCCCTCCTGTCCAGACGTTTTTGGTAAAATTTTGGAAGGCCCGAACAGGCATCTGACCCAATTATCAGGGGTCCTGTGTCAGCTCAACGTTTTGATACAGCTCTCACGCGTCAGCCCATGTCTCAGAATTGGGGCCGCACCACGGATGCGAAAGCTGTACGCTAACTGTGTGGCTCCATCCGCGATACTGTATCTGTCTCTGACAATCGATGTCAGCACGGGTAATGTCCAGTCGCGCGTTTTTCGGTAGACTTGGGCGACACAGCAGATGATCTCAAGCTCTTTGTCGTCGCTATAAATATGAGCTCGATAACTCCTGTTATTCCTCACTCTAGCATCCGTCCTTTCCTGCTCATCGAGCTTGTCTCTCAACCTCCTTCGCTCTCGTTGATATCTTTATCACTCACCGCTGCCCTTCGTCTAAATGCGTAGCTCATTCATCGCTCTTTTCATTCTCGCCGCTATCGTCGGTACTCTTGCGGCTCCGCCCCCCCGAGTCGGCCCGTTTCCCAATCCAAATTTCCGCATAGGCACCGTTATACGGCGCAAGAACGACCCTCTAGAGCCCAAGGACTACGAAGACTTCACTGTAGAGCGCAAGACTGACCCTTTCGACCCCAAGGACTACGAAGACTTCACTGTAGAGCGCAGGGCCGTGAACGGCTTCACTGCCATTTAAGAGTCCGAGGACGGTCAGTATCTTGTATCATTCAGCTTTTCGATTTCAGTCCTAACGCATCGTTTGATAGGCAACGCCAACGGAGGTAGCCTCACTAGAGATGAGGGCCTCGGCCCATCTTTGTAGGATGGGTCTGCGTAAGGCGGTAGCGGTGGCATTTCTAACGGCGGTAAGCCTGTTTCATGAGACGTATAGTACGACCTCAGCACTGACATCGGGACTCAGGCTCTGTGAACGGCGGCGAGGGTGGCAACGGGGGCAGCGGCGGCTCTGCTGTTGGTGGCGATGGTGGCAAGGCAGCTGGTGGTGCGAACGGCAGCTCCGCCAATGGTGGCAATGGCGGCGGCTTCCCGACGCTTGACTTGGATATTATTTCGGCGGACTAGTAAACATCATTGATACCTGTAATTTATTGGACCGGGCATGCATATCCCAGTGAAAACCCGCGCCGCTCAGAGCCGCGGGGAAACACGTCGTGCTAAGAGAGATAAGCTGAGCTATTTGGGGCGACTTGAGAAACCTGTCAGACGCCCACGTGCTTGCCTGTCAGTCGCGTCGAACTTCGTTGGGTTGGGATCGTCTGACTGGTCGTGTCGGATAATATGGTGGATAGATAGCCATGGTTCAATGTCTCGGCACAGGGGACGATCGGCCGAGGTACCGGTGATGGCTGGTCACAGGGAGTGACTCAAACGATGGAGGGACACCGGACACTCGGACGATGAAACACGACACAGCGACATAGGAGAGATATCACGGTTCTTCGTCCGGTCATCAAGACCGCATAAGACAAGAGAGGCTTCATCTGCGCAGTAGAACATCTCATAATGAATAAAACTAAAAAGTGCTAAGAAATTGCGATATGTAGCACCCCTTCCAAAAAAACTGGCTGTCTTGTACCTACCAAGAACGCACCCCGTGTGGCTCCAGGTGTGCTTGAGCAAAACGTGAGACAGCGGAAATATGCCAGATGCTAAGCGCCCTATGCATTATTCTACCGTAGCATTGCTCACAGCTACAGGAATGCTTTCAAGAGAAGAAACACCGTGACTGGAGAGGTGCTCAAGGACAACTCAGGATGAACTTCAGGGGAAGGCGATGGAGAAGTTAGTGGAGGGTCCGGGAGGACGACTCTGAGGCCGGCCGTATCACCTGGCCCAGTGACTCTACGTGAGTTCCCCATTTCGCTTCGCGCAAGGTGCCGTCTAATCGGTACCGCTCCGTCACGATA